ACTGGTGGTGAATCCGGAAAAGTGTGAGTTCGGATGTTCTAGGGTGACCTACCTGGGTTATCTCCTCGACAGTGAGGGTTTGCGTCCAGACCCGGAGCGTGTCGCCCCGGTGTTGAACTATCCTGCGCCCCGTGATGTCAAACAGTTGAGAAGATTCCTGGGAATGATGGGATGGTACTCGAGATTCATTGAAAATGACAGTGAGATCAAGGTGCCATTGTTGCGTTTATTGCACAAGGACATACCGTGGGTATGGACTGATGAGCAAGAGGAATCATTTCAAGATTTGAAATCCAAATTGGCCTCGGCACCCGTATTGGCTCGTCCAGATTTTACCAAGGAATTTACCATTCATTGTGACGCAAGTGATTTTGCTGTGGGAGCCGTTCTCACGCAGGAGTCAGAAGATGGTGAACACCCGATTGTGTTTATCAGTAAAACCTTGACTCCAGCCCAGAGGAATTACAGCGTCACGGAAAAAGAGTGCCTTGCACTCTTGTGGTCCATCAAGAAGTTTCGTCCTTATATCGAAGGATATAAATTCAATGTAGTCACAGACCACAGTGCCCTGAAATGGTTAAGGAACCTTAAAGATCCGTCAGGACGGCTAGCACGTTGGGCTTTGGATATGCAGCAGTGGAGTTTCGAGATTCGTCACCGAAAAGGAATTCACCATGACGTACCCGATGCCCTGTCCAGGATGTTTGAGGACATCGAGATATCTGCATTCGAAAATATCCAAGACCTTTGGTACCTCAAGCGGAAAGAAGCGGTCGAGAACCACCCAGAACGTTTTCCGGGATGGTTAGTCGAAGAAGGTAAACTGTACAGGTACCGTGATTGTCCACTTGTGTCCGCATTTTCAGGCCCGAATCGAGGGTGGAAGTTGGTTGTGCCCGAAGAGTTTCGGGAAAGAGTTTTTAAGGAGGCTCATGACGGCCTGACGGCCGGTCATTTGGGCGTGGAGAAGACCTACAGTCGTGTCGCTGCGGAGTATTACTGGCAAGGTATGTGGTATGATGTCCACAAGTACGTCCAGTCTTGTGACAAGTGTCAGCGACATAAAGTGTCACAGCAGGGTCCTCGGGGTCTTATGGGCCATCGCATTGTCGAGCAGCCTTGGGTTGTCGTGGCCGCCGATTGCATGGAGTTTCCGCCTAGCAAAAGTCAGAACAAGTATCTTGTGGTGTTCCAGGATTTGTTCTCGCGGTGGATCGAGGTAAAACCGCTCAGAAATGCTGACGGAAAAGCAATCGCGCGTGCATTTGAGGAATTAGTCTTGTTCAGGTGGCAAACTCCTAAATTCCTGTTGACCGATAACGGGAAGGAATTTGACAATAAAATCCTCAAAAAGACCCTCGAGGACTATGGGGTCCGTCACTTGACCACTCCGCCTTACCACCCTCAAGCTAACCCGGTCGAGAGAACAAATCGTGTTTTGAAAACGATGATCTCGACCTTTGTAGGAGCCGATCACAGAGATTGGGACAAGCACGTCCATGAGTTTCGTCACGCGGTCAATACCGCAGTCAGGTCGTCGACGAAAGTGTCTCCTGCCTACTTAAATTTTGGTTGGGAGCCTATTCCGGTAAAGAGTTTGCGTGGTGAGGTTGAGGCCACGACTTCGGTCCAGCGGTTGGATCCGGAGTTGTGGATTGACAGAATGAAACGTTTGGATGCCCTGCGTGATTTAGTCGCGCGATTCATAGACTCGTCTCGTGAAAAGCAAGCGGGTTATTATAACCGCAATCGTAGACAAGCGTCGTTTAACGTCGGTGATAAGGTGTGGCGGCTTACACACAAGTTGTCCAACGCGGCACAAAAGTTTTCGGGAAAACTTGCGCCGAAATACGAGGGTCCCTATGAGATTAGCGAAAAGTTGTCTGAGAACACTTATATTCTAAAGGCGGAGGGAAATCGATGGGTTCCGAAGGTGCACATTACGCACCTAAAGCGATACATTCCCCCTCGTGGCAAATAAATATATGTGCCGTATTTTGATTAATTGTTGTTCTAGGTTAGCCGATGCCGCATCACCCGTCAAAATCTGGGGAACAGCGAGTGAAGTCCGAAATTCATCGAGTCAGGCCAGCGTCCGCGGAGTCACGAGAGCGATCCGTAAGAATGCGGAAAGGAAGCATATCACGTCAGCGGGGAGCCTTTGGTCGTTCTCCGCCAGAGCGCCGAGCATCGGCCGGAATCTCACGTCCAGGAATTATCGGAGAACTCGATGAATTTTTGCCCGGGGAGTTAACGCCAAGGCAGCGAGAGGAGGCTGCGCTTCGTGGTCGTCTGAGGCGTGTGCAGGAGTGGATCGCCGCAGGTCCGGAGTTTGACGAGGAAACTATAGTCTCAGATGAAGCCATTGATCAGGTCGAGCATATGGTTGTCGAGTCGCCCGATCCTGTCATGTTGCCAGTGGCTGAGAGTGTGGCCGTGCTGCCAGGTCCGGAAATCGCAGCAATCGAGGAGTCCCCGAGGTTGTTGCCGATTTGTGAGATGGAGATTGTGAACCCCACTCCCACCGTCAGTACTGGAGCCATCCCCAAAAAGCGTGGCGAACCGGAACGAGAGCAAAGGAGGGTCGAGAGACGAAACGATGAGAGTGAGGAAGAGTGGCAGAGTCGTTGCGCGGTCGTCGAGTTGGAGGAGACGGTTGGCGAAGGAGTCAGTCCTGCAGAGGCAACCTTAAAGGATTTGCGGGAAAAATTGAGAAGGGCCAAAGAACGCCGGGACAAGAACCCCCTTCAGTCGTGGGATTACGTGGTACCAGGAGTGACATCCCCACCACCAACACTGCCACGACAGCCTGAGACGTCCAAGGACCTGCCAGATGTCTGCCCTCCACCTGCACCCTTGAAACAGCCGAGCCAGCAAATACAGATCGTAAGATCTTCAACGCTCCCAGTGGAGGAAGTCAACGTGGTCAATGAGGCTCCTAAATCACGACGTCAGAGGAGAGTTTTGAAAGTCAAGGAGGGAGGACGCATGTTTGGTGGTGTCGACCCTATCCCTACTGACCGAAAATTGGACCCTCCACCTGGACGTTGCCACAATTGTTGGGGGCAAGGACATGGTGCCCGAGATTGTGATATCGCATGGGGCAAATTCTGTAACAACTGTGGACGAAGGGAAGTTGCTGTCCAGGATTGCCCGCGATGTGGACGCGTCTACCGAGAGCGGATGCGCCGTGGAGCGGCTGGTAGATCGGTGGAGCGACGAGTTAGCGCCGAGGTCGTGCCGGCGCTCCCCCAACCCTTTGGACAAGCGGCGGAGACGGAGCAACGTCGTGACTCGCCCATGTTGCAGCAGGCGGTATTCCAGCCAACCACATCCCCGGCTATCGCCCCCTGGCTTCTACGTCCAGCCTCGGATGTTCTACATCCGAGTGAGAACGAGCCCGAGGAGATGACTCCTGCAAGGATCGAGCGAGACGCTCCGATTGGCGAAAGCGTTGCGAGCCCGTCAGCCGGCAACCTTTTGGACGAGCTACGTGAGTTGCATCGGTTGCTACAGGGTTTGCCGCCCGATATGGTCCAGGACGCGACTATGCAATTTATGCAGTCGCGTCGTTCCCGTCGAGAGTAGATGAATAGTTTGGGATGTCAAGGGTCTGCGGTGCAACGCGAGATTGTTATTTTATTTTGGCACAGCAGGCCAATACTGATCCAGTTTTCCGTTGTCGAGAGTTTCCAACGCATTACTGAGAGCCGAGTATTATATTCATTTATCGTTTTTTCTATTATTTCTTTTTTTTGTTTGAATCGAATTTTTTACTTTTTTGAATCGGCAATATTACCAAAGAATATTGGCCTTGGGAGGGGGATTGTGACGAAGGATTCGTCAATTAATAAAGAAACGTTAAGTCATGCCCCCTTTTCCCCCCCGTTGTTAGTTAGTCAAGGCACTGAGCCTTTTAGGTCAGTGTGTGTCGCCTTGACACTGACCCATTTTTGGTATTTGCGCACCTGAGTGCGTAAGTTCACGAGGTTACCCGAGGGAGCACGATCAAGGACAAGAACTGTCCCTAGTTGACGAAGACACTTAGAGGAAGGAACCACTTGTAGCATTGCAGCCTCCCTGAAACCTAGTCCGGAAAACAGTCGCGTCGAGTAGTCCTCAATTTATTAATTTTATATAAGAAACTTATTTAGTGTGTAACGAGGGTTATATTTCCTGTTATCGGCATTGCCGAAATAAGTTAACTTGGTTTAATAAATAGCTTTATCAGTGAAAGTGTGGCGTTGATTTTATTAACTAGAACCGGCGTCCTCGTGGTCTGGCGTTTGAGTCTTGGCTTTTACTGTTGACTGGTGAGTATTTATTATTTTGTCTTGGGTCCAGCCTAGCACATTGGCTTCACGTGCAGATCAACAATAACCGATCCCGGAAATTTTGGTAAAGTTGTAAGTTTAAGTAACTAGAGTTCACTAACGTGTAGAAGCCGATTAATTCCGGTCGAATTAATAATACATCGTTATACACTATTGAGAAAATCTTTTACAGTGACTAAAGTTTAACTCTCATTTATTTGACAATAAGATTAAATTACAAATATATTATATAGTTGTCAAGAAGCATTATTATTTTCGGTCTGTGTATATACTATGGAATGTACTAGATGCATTTAAATATAAAACGTCATAACCATCCCTATGCAAAGGTTACATGGAATTCTACATAGGAATCCATAAAGCATTCAATATATTTTCATATACCAAATCCTGTCCGAAATTCTTTTATATGGAAACCTTTACAAAGAATCAAATATCGGTTTCCATACCGAAACCCATGTGGGTTTTTCTGTGGGGAATATCAAGAATCATCTATAAATTGACGACAAATAATTGTTTTTGATCAGTTTTCTAATTAATTGTATTTTTTTAGTTTGGTGAATGATGATGAACATCCACTGACTTAAGAACGTAAATATTTCCCCTTAAATAATTGTAACAACTGTCCCTTAAAAATACTTTAATATAATATAATAAATTACATACTGTATTGGCAGTTTCATTTCTAATAACTGCTTGATTAGCCTGGACCGTTTTTCTTAGCTGGTTTAAACCAGCTAAAAGCTGGTTGTCCCGCTCCTCCCGTTCAGCAGTAAGTCGAGCAACTCTGGCATCTCGCTCTTCTTTAAGAAGAGCATTTTCAGCCATTAATTTAGCTCTCTCTAAATTTGATTCGTCCAACTGTTGCTTTAATTCCTGCACTTGTCTTTTTAGATCGGGGCATTTATTACATTCAACGGACTTTTTGTTGGTTTGTTTTGCGACCTGCTAAATTAATAATGACACTAAATTATATTTTTAAAGTACAAGATGTTAACGATCAAGAGCACCTTATGTCATATTTTTAAAGTCGCCGACGAAAAATGCGAGGTCAGACTTTATAAATTTTGCAAATGGTGGATTCAATACAACGGACAAAATTTTGAACAAGTTGTTCATTTTATGACCACTTAGCTTCCTTATCATGATCTAAATAGCGATTAATTTTATAAATATTGATAAAAACATAAGATATATAAGATAGAAAAAATTTATTTTAATAAGATCTATAACTTTTGTCTAAAAGGTTTTTTTTATTCTGCTTATTTTACCCAATAAACGTTTAAAAACAAACTTTTGAAAATAAAACTTCTGAAATTGATGCATATTTAAGAAAGTTATGAGTATTAAAAAATTAAAAGTCATTAAAATTCTAAAATTTTTAAAAATTCATATCTTGAAAACGGCTTGCTAAAAAACATTGGAGGCTGCTCGCATAAGAAAAGACGGAACAGTGTGCAGGATGTGTTTCAAGTGAGATAGAAAAAGAAAGAGCAATATTTCTGTCCTTTTCTGACTCATTTGAATCATATCCTGCACACTGTTTCATTTTTTCTTGTACGAGCAGCATATACAGTAGAGCCTTCAACGTGCATTTTGCAACAGACATTCAATTGTTTAAATTACTTTTTAAAAATTTTCTTGTCTAAAATATGAAAAGGAATCAGAATTTTCGTCGTTTGAGTATTATATGCATAATATAAAATTTTTTTTTATAATTTATTCATACTTTTGCATCTCTTTTTTTAATTTTTTATCTCTTATAGTGGACGGCACTGAAAATTGCCCTTCTACACTAGTGCCACCTTAGCCTGTACGTTCCAGGAACGTGCACATTGAAATCGTACGCATTGTAGCAATCTTTCACTAAGGCCTAAGAAACTTAAAGCAATATTTCTGCAACCTTACTCAGCAAACTTATTTTGATATTATAAAATTTTTGAACAAGCTTGCTGCAAGCTTGATAAAAAATGGAATGCGCAGTCGTAAGTGTCATAGAAATCAACTGCGCATCGACTTAAGTTTCACGAACTTTCGCGGCAAAGTCAGTGCGACGTTGTGTGGCAAGATTGCAACAAAATTGACGAGTACTCTTTTCTTAAGCTGACATGACAAGCTTGAATTTTCGTTTAAGAATTAAACTTTTTAAACTCACTTTTTCAATAATTTAACGCAAAAAATGTATTTTCAGGAGAACAAAGTAAAAGCAAAATCTTAAGCCGTTTACACTTTAAATTAAGCCTTAATTAAGTCTGATTCCGTTTACACCTGAAATTCAGCCTCAATTATATGCTGAAATCAAGATTTCTTTTTCAGTGTGAACAGCAATGTGCATTGTACACAAATCTATTAATTTTAAAAATTTTAGCTCAAAATAATTTTTCCTTTTAGGGAAAGTTAGGTTTTTGCAAATCACATTTTTCTTTATACATTCATGCAAAAACCTCGTTTAGCAACTATTTACAGCTTTGGCTAAAGCAGAATGAATTCTTGAAGGGAAACGCAATCGTGAACCTAAACGTAAGAATGAGTGAGAGAAGAATAATGATATTTGCTATCCTGCTCTTACACATCTTTACGTTTTCGTTTACGATTGTGTTCCCGTTCAAGAATCTATTCTGCTTAGGTCTTATTCAAAATAGTAGAATCCCTCCATCGTAGATGCGGACGATGAGGGAGTCGGACATTTTAAATTGCTGCAAATGGCTGTCAAACGAGGTTATGTCTGCACTTATGAAGAAAAATATTGTTTGATATACATTGCTTCGCGAGCGTATATGCATTACTCATGTAATGGGCAAAGCGCTCGCTTGTCCACTTATATCGAAATATACTATTCCCATACTAGGTCACGTGGGTGTTTCCCACACGCCATTAAAAGAAATATGATATCTATCTTTTTATTTCCAACACCAAAGTTTCAAGCGAAATCGATAAAAATTTAAAATTTTCGTCCGCTATATTAAATCCGACATTTTAAATTTTGAAAAAATAACATAACTTTTGAATTTTGGAAAAAAAAACTTACTTTAAATATTGAAGTACCTGGAATTGCAGCTGCAGCTGGTTGGTCAATGGCTAATTGTTTATCAATATTCATCTAGTAATAAAATTAAAACATATAAGTATATTAAAAGGTATACTTAAAAATATAATGTATTATATGTTTAAAATAATGAATGTTACGAGAATAAATAAAACTTACATTTATTAAAAAGTCAGCGTAACTGTCCTTTTCATTTTCAGCCATAATATTTTGAAGAGTAATTCTCTCTAGATTCTAAAAAATAAATTTCAATTCAAAATAGTACATTGCGTAACGAGTGTGAACTAGCGCTCGTTCCTCTCTTTTATTGAGAGGATGGTACTAAACATTGTAAATTTAAAAAATTTAATGAAAATTTTTTACCAATAAAAATTAGGATTCAAACTCCTCCCCTCTACAGAAAGAAAGATTTCTATTCCTGTGGCCAAACATCAAAAATTAAGAAAAAATTAAAATTTTATTTTGACACTATTAAGTCCCATCCCCTTAATAAAGAATGGAGATATTTTGCCAAATAAAAATTAAGATTTAAACTCCCCCTCCCCTCTATAGAAAGAATGAATTCGTGGCTTCAGAAATTAAAAATGGAGAAAAATTTACTTTTTTAAATTGACATTATTTGATTGTCGGGACATATATCTGTGTGCACCTTTTTCGGCATTTCTGAGAAAATCAGAAGATCATGCTTTTAAGAAAACTGCTATTTTTTAATTAAATTGCAATTATTATGAACTGTGCTAAATATAATAAATAAATTAATTATAAAATAATTTAATAAAATTTGCAATTTCTATTAAATATAAGTTTTTTTTACACAGTTTACACTAATTTCTTGAAACTATGGTGAAAACTAACGAGTTAAAATCTACAGATACATAACAATTGCACATGTCAAGTGATTATTTATTATTTATCACTTTACTAATTGAAATGTTTGCAAAAATTAACTCTGTAAATGTTCATTTACCCTCCCAATACTTATTTTTAAAATTTTTCATTAATTAAAAGCTTTTTTTTTGATAAATACCCAAATTCAACTTAGATTCGACTTAGATTCGCCCCAGCTGGGTCGAATTTAGGTAAATCAAATCCGCCAGAGACTAATTTAAATTAGTATAAACATTTTTACTAATTCAGATTTAGAGAGTTTATCATTATTTGTTTTATTAAAAAACTTGTCATAATATTTATAAGATAGGTTATAAAGTTTCTAGTTCTGCTCTCCTCAATATGATAATATAATTATTATATTTATAATAATAATTGTTACAATTCTTATATTTGTTTTATCATACATAGAAAATTATGAAATAAATTATTTTTCAATTTATATATTCACAAAACTTAAAATAAAAATAAGCATAATTTATATTTAGCGCAGTTATTAAAAACTAGTTTTTGAAAAAGGCTTAAAAAATTAAGTTAAATTTTATAACATAAAATAGTTACGTGTTAAATTAATTATAATAAATAAATAAAAATTAAATTAGACAGTAATGTATAAATAGTTAGAAGCCTAAGTTAAGAGAAGTAGTAAGTTAACTCGTTAATATAGATCAGAGATTAAAAGTTATACAATTTTTCTATCACTTTCTATCTCAGACATAAAAAGATATAAAAAGTGAGCAGTTCTCTATCTCTTTACTTCCAGCAGGGCTAACAGAGAATATACACTGACAGAAGTGCTATCGAAATTTCAGCCATAAATTTATGGTTGAGATTTCTGTTTGAATTGGTCATACAGTCTATCAAATTGGTAGGTAAGTTAGGTTATATTAGCCATGTGAAGTCTGATTCAGACATCTTGCTCTTTGGAAGTACTATTCGTTTGGTTGGATTACCCAAACTGTATGGCAGTAACAGTTCCATGTTAATTCAGTTATACGATATAACAGAAACAGCAAGAATTATCGCAGTAATTACGAAAAATTTCTTTTAGTGTAAAGCCCTAATAAAAAGAAACACGTACCCAAGTAGCACGATATATCAACCAGATGTCACGGTGATATCACCGGGGAATGTCACCGTGACATCAGGAAAATGTCAAAATGTCCGCCTTACGGTGATATCACACGGTGACATCGAGGTGATATCATGGTGACATTAAGGTGATATCACAGTCATATCACGGTGATATCATGGTGATATCATGTTGATATTTTACAGGGATTTAAAATTTTTAAAAAATTATTATTTTTTTATTTATTATTAATTTTTTTAATTATTAAAAATTTTAAACCCCTGTAAAATATCAACATGATATCACCGTAAGGCGGACATTTTGACATTTTCCTGATGTCACGGTGACATCTAGTTGATATATCGTGCTACTTGGGTAATTGGAATTATACGTATAAATATACGTATAATTATACGTGTTTTTTCAATAGGGCACCCATGTAGCACGTAATATTTCAGTCATATTAAACTGTCCAGCTTATGCTAATATTACCGGTTTATATTACTGTAATATTACAGTAACATTACAGTGATATTACTGCAATATTACAAAAAGTTCAAAAACCCAGCTTATGCTAATATTACCGGTTTATATTACTGTAATATTACAGTAACATTACAGTGATATTACTGCAATATTACAAAAAGTTCAAAAACCACTTAAAAATATTTGATTCATTAATTACCTTTTTCTACTTTATCATAAAAAACTTTGAAATTTTTATGTATTTCAAATAAGCTTTTAATATTACAGTAACATTGCTATAATATTAAAGCAATATAATGTAAGATTGTTGTAATATTACAGTAGGGGAATGTCTCCATGAGCGGACCGTTTTACGCTTCTGTTTGTAGAAAAGTCATTGAATCAAATCACTAATTATGCATATATTCGTTTAGAATAATTATTCTTCTAAATGAAGATATGCACAATTAGCGATTTGATTCAATTACTTTTCAAAAAACAGAAATGTAAAATGGTCCACTCATGGAATCATTCCCCTAATATTACTATACAATTGCTGTAATAGTGTAGCAATATTCTGTCATACGGAACAAGAACTTACACTGAAAGAAACGATTGGTAGAGATTAACAATTCATTATTAAGAGTATTTTAGGTAATTTATATTAGTTACTGTTACTATTTAGTTAGTCAGTCTAACCATTTCTTTAGTGAGGTAACTAAGTAAACAGTTACTCCAACAAACTAATTAATTAAACCAACTAATAATATAGTTATGCCAACAAAATAATTAGTTAAACCAACTAATAAATTAGCAGCAGTATACTTTACTAACTAAAAATGGTAAACCCAACAAATCGTTTCTCTTATGGCAGGTAAGCGACATTGTCGCTTTGGTCGGTATTTCAGTAGTAAAATGCACTGAAATTAGCCTAAGCGACTATGTCGGTCACCTAAGTTTTCACATCGTACAGCAATATTACTGTAATATTACCATGATGCGGACATTTGAATACTACTGAAATATTACTTTAATATTACGTGCTACCCTGGCGGATTGGGAAAACCGAGTTGTAACCGAATTGGGTTACGATTCGGTTACGTTTCGGTTCATTGTGAAATATTATCGTTAATCGACGATATGTAAATATGTAGTAAATAACTATTAGGAATGGTTAATATACATTTAGAGTGCTTATTTATGCAATAATAATAATAAATTAAGATATAATTAATTAATAATAAGTGTTTTAAGTGTACAGTGCATACAGTTGTTGAATTACCATATATATCTATATTACCATCAACGGCAGCTGTGCTACGCGCGTTAAACCTTAGATGGCGTTAAGGATGACTTTGTGAGTGAATTTCTAAAATTAAGCCCTTGAGTGTCAAATGTGTAAGTGAATATATAAGTTTTAAAAAAATAGATCAATTTATTAAAACAACTTTTTTTAATTGTACAAATATAAAAAAAAATTTTTTATAACGAACAAAAATTTTTTTAATGAGAAAAAGTTTTTTTTGTGTCAAAATTAATCTTTCTCATTTCATTAAGAAAAAAAATTTTTTTAGGGAAAAAAAGTTTTTTTATGTCAAAATTAATGTTTCTCATTTCATTGAGGAAAAAATTTTTTTTTAAGAATAAAAAATTTTATTTTATTTTTTTCTTTATTTTTTATTTTTTTTATCTATTATATATATATATATATATATATATATATATAATAGATATAACGACCCACAGATGAGTCGTTAACAGTCAACGGAATTGGAAAGTTAAAATTTTAGAAATTCATTTACAAAGTCATCCTTAACGCCATCTAGGGTTTAACGCGCGTATCACAGCTGCCGCTGATGGTAATATACATATATATGGTAATTCAACAACTATATGCACTGTACACTTAAAACACTTATTATTAATTAATTATATCTTTATTTATTATTATTATTGCATAAATAAGCACTCTAAACGTATATTAACCATTCCTAATAGTTATTTACTACATATTTCGTCGATTAACGATAATATTTCACAATGAACAGAAACGTAACCGAATCGTAACCCAATTCGGTTACAACTCGGTTTTCCCAATCCGCCAGGGATACTTGGGCAAGTAGACAAAAATGGAATTCAAAAAGACTGGTTAATTGATAGTTTTATATCGATCAGAACCCACATGAACTTACATAAATTAATTTGTTATTTTCATGCAATAAGTTATTTCTTTTAAAACCATAAAACCTGTTATAAATTATTACTTAAAATAATAGTTATAATCTTACTTCGTCCAATTTTGGTGTCTTCTTTTTTATTGGTCCTCCTTTTTCTTTTAAAATTACCTTTTTGGCGGGATTTAACCTTTTCTTTTTTGGTCCTATTGAACCCGGTGTCCATTTTTGTTTCGGTTTGATAATTCTTTTATCTTTGTTCTTCGGTCCTTACATTATTGAATTATTAAAAAAAAATTAAAAATGTTTTTACAGAGAAATTTTTATCAACATTTCTTAAAATAAACAATAATTTACAGTATTCCAATAAACATGTGTGACCTCGACAGTGAAAAGGGGTCCCAGTAAAAGGTGAGGAATTCAAAAAAATTGAAAAATTTTAACATTTCATTGAAAGGGAGAAATTATCAACTTTTTTAATTCTGTTTGTGTCTAATTCCTATGTATTCCCTGTTGAGACTAAGATTGCTTGAAACTCAATTCCTATCAATTCAGTTTTAATATTTCTCTAATTTTTTAATTCTTTTGAATTCCAAAATACTGAATAAGTAATTCGGACTAAATATTTCAGTTATACCTAAAACTCAATTCCTATCAATTCCATTTTGATATTTTGCTAACTTTTTAATTCTTTTGAATTCTGTAATATTCTGAAGTAAGTACGTTTAAAATCAAATATCTACAGTTCAGTTGATGCGGCTGCGCGGAACAGTTGTTTGTCTCCTATATTGAAAATCGAAAGTTCAAATCTTCGGACCGTCAAATTTTTTTCTGCACAAAATTTTAAAACGGAATTGAAAAGAATTTAACGGGCATTATTTGCGAGTACCCAAGATGAATATAAAAGAATTGGACAGAAGCGGAATTCAGAAGAATTAAACATTTTTAATTCTTTTTAATTCCTCGTTTTGTACTGGAAGCTTACGTGCGAAAAAATTAATTTTTTTTTGATTGGTGATTCTGATAGAGAAAAGTTGTCGCCATCAGAATCACCAATCAATAAAAAATTAATTTTTTTCGCACGTAAACCCCCTTTTCATTGTTCAAGTCACATATACGCAGAAAAAACCTGGTTTCAATGAAGTGCTACAAAAATGAGCCAGGTTGGTGGCGCCACTGTCTATGTCGTTTAGCATTGGCTCATTTTGAGATGCAACAAAAATAAGAATAGGTTTTTTCTGTGTAATATCTCATCAGCAAACATACCTTAAGTTTACTTCAGACTTACGATATAACCTTACCAAAAAAAGCACATAATATTTCCAAAATATTACACGGAAATCTTTAAAATATTTGATGAAAAGATCTTGAAATACTATTGCAAACAGAAAACTGTCAGCCTTTGAGGAAATATTGTCATGCAATGTATGTTATAAATAAGGGGCTGATAGTTAAAATAGTTTAACATAACATTGGGTGTAAAAGTGGGATAAGTGACTTGGGAGCAAAAACGCGTTAAAATGATTCGTATAATTTATTGATAAATTCATTATATTATGCATTAAAAAAATTAACAATCGGAAAAAATACATATTTTATTATAATTGATATTTTTTAATCGAAAATATAATAAATTTATCAATAAATTACAAGAATCATTTTAACCCGTTTTTGCTCCCAAGTAACTTATCCCACTTTTGCTCCAAATGTTATTTTAAACCATTTTTACTATCAGCCCCTCAAATATTACACATTAAGACTCTTTTTTTTTAAAAAAAACTGTAACTTTGTTAATTTAATTTTTCTTCATTCCTTCAAGAGTAGCAAAAATTTATCTTATATTAAATAAATATTTTACTGTTTTTTATTTCATATGATCCAGTTAAAAAATATTTTGCTCAGTGTAAGACACTTTTTTTAGAGAAGACGTGGGAAAATCGTTGCAGCAGTCACGAAAAACCAAAAAAAATTTTGAAAATTAAAAATATTACTCATATTTCGCAAAAGTATCTTGACTAGGTATAACTCTTTAATGTAGACCTCGAAACAAAATGATCTAAAGTTCAAAATATTCCTTATTTTTCCAGCTTTCATGTTCATAAAGTGCACTCGGTGTTAACTTATTCAGTATTTCTGAAATTATTTCTCCTTATTTATTGAAGTAAAAAATAATTTTTTCAAGACAAATTAATATTAATAAAACTTAATTTAAACGTAAGTAAGAAAATTCACGGTTTTCCCGGCTAGTAGACACCTTGAGTGGGCATCATTTAAGTTGGAAGTTTCACAAAAAAATTCTGAAAATTGCATGGGAATATTTCCTCAAAAGCGGACATTTTTCTGTTTGCAACAATATTTCAAAGACTTATCATTGAAATATTTTTAAAATATTTAGAAAACATGTGCTGTATGAGTATAAAATGTATGTTTAACGCATACAATATAATATATATGTTGTATATGTATGTTAAAAATAACGAGAATTCAGAAGCTATTATATTGACAGTAACTAAAAAATGCATTTAACATAAATGTGTAAATTACTATAAAGAGTACAATAACGTACCCCAAACGTTTTAGAATATATAATAATAGTGCATATCCTAAAGTACAATAAATAAGATATATCTTTTGCCGATAAAATAATTTTAATTGACAAACCAACATTTTTAAAAAAATTTTTAAATTGTTGCCATGAAACGTTTTACTTTCAGGGAGACCAAAATATATGACAATTTATCACTAGTTTTGATTTAAGACAAAATTAAAATGTGAAATTTTAAAAAACTTTCAAGATTGAAATAAGGGTGGGGGGTATGGTATTTAATTTTTTTAATTTTTTTTAAATGAATGTATAATACTTCAAGAATATTGTGTACAAATTTCAAGCCGATCGGAGAAAAATTGACGAAGTTATGAGCATTTGAGCATTCAAATGTTGCTCTACTGAAGCAATCGTTCTGAAATTTGGCACAGTTCTTCTTGACTAAATTCCCCAGGTAACTACAAGAACTTTTTTTGTAATAATTATTAATTACACAGTAAAAAATAGATCGATTTTTCAGCGAAAATCGAGTTTTTGGGTTTCAATTGCTGCGAAAGATAAAAAAACCTCTCGTAGTTACCTCGAAAAACATCTCCTTTAACAAAAAATTTTTTTTTATTTAGATGATTCTGTTACTATTTACGTTGAACGCCGCAAATCTATTTTTTTAAGAGGCGCTTGAAGAGATTTACTGCTACTCGTTCAATTTGCAATATTTTTCAATGAGAATTTAGGGAAATATACTTCAAATATGTGATATTTGAATGAATATCAATATGTGGAAATAAAGTAATAGAGGTCGCCTACTTTATAGAAAGTCATAAAATGTGTAAATTACAGGAATCTTTTTCTCAAACGCATTGAAATAAATTGATACTAGTTTTTGTGGATGTTTTCTTATATATTTAAACCTTCGAAATATAATTTTTTATTAAAAAAAATAATATTTAATAATAAAATAAATGTCATTTACTCGCTGCTAAAATTTTCCCATTGCGCCCAATCCAGGGTCCACAATTCTTATCAAAAACAAAATTTTTTCTTCAATCGTACATTAGTGCCTTCTAAATGAATAAATTTTTTTTTATAGTCGAATATAAAATTTTGGTTCAAGAAACAGTAAGTTTTTTTTTGCGAAAATTGAATTTACCGTGTTACGTATACGTTCTGTTTATTGAAAAAAAACCACTTATAAATCCTGAAATTACTGTTAATTAATTAATTAAACGCATTATTACACACCGGAAACGCATTTTAAATTATATTTACGCTTTTGGGGATTCGAACCTGTCTATCATTCTACAGTGAAACCCCTCTAAGGCGGAATACAATTAGCACATTCTGCCTTAGAGGGATCCATTAAAAAGCTATTAGTGAGTGTCAAGTGTCAAGAAACTTTAAACAGTGGTTTCTTTTTGTATGGAATAAAAATTGTAATAATTGAATAATAATTTTATTCAACAAATATTTCAATTTTATACAAATATAAATAATTTTTTCTTTTAATTTTGTTGTTAAAATGAAATTTTAAAAATCGAATTTTGCTGAGAACTAAGGGGCACTCAAAGTTTTCAGCACTGTGTTTTCCATCACTCACACATTCACAGCTCTCACCGATACAGTTCCGCCCGCTGTGATTCTGCCTTAGAGGGGTTTCACTGTATTTACGAACTAGCTAAACGTTTTACGAAGTGCTTTAACGCACACGACTACATACGCTTATAAAGTAAGCTTACAAGAAGTTTATTGAGATAGAATGTGTCCTGTGATACCTATTCCTAACGTGACTTTCGATACACCCTGTATAGAATTTTACAAAAATCTGCTGGACTATTCACGGCAGACACCATTCTGAAGACTCTAACCACGTCTTATTTAGATTCTACTTGACATTTTTCACCATTTTTTGATAAAATATTTTCCAGAAAGTACGAAACATTTCTACATTTAAGCCTATTTCAGAAATATTACAAAACTCCTTACAGTTATTCTAAAATTATTTTGCTTAAAGTAGTGAAAGTTTCTGAGTTTACGATAAACTTCGTCAAGGAATCGTTAATATCCGCTAGTCCTAAATTTGTTTTGTAAAATATACTGAAATAATTTTTTCCGTGCAAAAAAAAATTTTTTCTGCTCAAAAAAGTTTAATTTATAATCCATTAAATAAAATTTTAAAGCAATTGAAATAAACATTAATTGACTTTTAAAAAAACGATTCAGAACAACAAAAAACGCGTTTTTAATAAAAATATATATTTACTGTTTTGAAAAAAACACACTCACATATGGCAAGATACATGAGGGCCAACGTAGGAACCCGCATGGATCGCCCTTATGGTCGATTAGTAGAATTTTCTAAGTCCAAAAGTCAAACATTTTTTATCACCAAAAAATTAATGTTTACAATGATTCAGAACAATGAAAAACGCGTTTTTAATAAAAATACCCAGGCGTGAAGTGACGATGATTTGACGCTATGTAAAGATTGCCTGAGCATTGGTCAATATTGATTGAGCCTTGGTGAGAAAGCGCAAGTAAGGCTACTCCAGTCTAGAATGTAACACCGATCTAAACCTGACGCTTGAGGCTGGGTTGAGCATTGGCGCCCAAGACTGAATCATTCTTGCCGAATTCTGATTCAGGCTCGGTCAAGACTGCTCCCATTGTTACTTATTATTCTCGCGTTCAATAATCTATATTAATAAAATCAGACTTTTGTCTGTA